TCGTGTGCGATCGGTACGCTTGCCGCAAATTGGCGATAAGTTTGCGTCCAGGCACGGCCAGAAAGGTACAATGGGAATGATGTATCGGCAGGTTAGTGTTTAGCCTGTTCGGCCACACTGGAATTCATATGGAAAAAATAATCAGTGGAAAAATTAGTGGAACTTTTTCTTGTCAAATTTTTCATACAGCGTTAAATTTGCACTTGAAAAAATTTTGATACTTATTTAGTCGTTCTGGCTAGGATTGTACAGTCTGCGAGTTTGATTCCCTGAGCTTTATGAATTGACACATCTCATCTGGTTGTTTTGAAAATTTTGTATAGAGACAGGGAGGAAGAAATGCTATAGAATTTTATAGGAAGATATGAAATTTTAGAATTTTATAGGAAGATATGCCATTTACGAATGAAGGAATTACCCCGGACATTATAATCAATCCTCATGCAGTGCCATCGCGTATGACAATTGGACATTTAATTGAATGTTTGCAAGGAAAGGTATGCGTACACCTAACTTACGGAAATTGTCAGCAGCTCTGCACCGTTGTCATGGAACTCCTTCGTCCGACTCGTCGTGTTTGACAGAGCGACGCTCCATTTCGTACTGGGTTTCTTTACTGTGCAGGCTGATATATCAGCTATGATTTTGATATTATACTTGTTACTACATCGCCGTACCTTTTTTTCCGTTCTTGCTTGATAGCGAGCAAAAAGTACAGCGATGTAATAACAGCTGAGCCCAGGCATGGCTCAGTTGCTTGGTGCGTAGAAGCATCCTTGTAACAAAACTAACAGGGGAATCCTAAACTGTTAGTACGATCAGTCTTGTTCTACCTGTTATCGGATGGTGGCTAGCAACGTCTCCACGATAAGAAGAAGAAAAGGACAGAAACAGGACGGGAATTGGTGTCACTATTGCTAATATGGTAAATTAAATATGTAGAATTAGTTGCAATAAGCAAGCTTGTTGCACTTTTTTTTTGCTATTTTTTAATGCAGTTGAAAATGCTTCGAAGAGCTCTTAATTGACATCTTGAGCAACTTCTTCACCTGCTTTGACCAATGCTGCCTAATTTAGTGGTCAGTATGGTAGGCAATCCTGAGATTCGTTTCATCGCAGCAGTTGAGTATATCTTGAAAATGCTTTGTGTATTTGTAATTTCCCCGACTTTTTGCAGTTATCAGCGAATAAGGGTGAAATTGGTGATGCTACACCTTTCAATGACACTGTTAATGTCCAGAAAATTAGTAATTTGTTGCAAGAGTATGGTTATCATTTACGTGGCAATGAAATTATGTACAATGGACATACAGGCCGCAAGCTAACAACACAGGTAACTAGTCTTTCCAAATGCTTTCAGGTCAGGCTTTTTTCTGTGGACTGATCTCCGGGTTTCATTGTTTTTTTTGCTAACTGTGGACTGATTTCGACTTCCAGTTCAGAGCCTTTTCGCAACCAAAATTATGCCTTCGCCTTTTACAAAGAATGAGTACGGAGAGGGGATTCTGACGTAGCAATGTGGTGATTGGTTGTCACATACATAAGCTTTAACTGCCTTCGTTCACTCCCAAAACTTAGTTCGAGCACACTAATAGGAGGATTAATTTCTTAGAACTAATTGATTCAATTCGGTGCTAGTGGGCCTAGCATGCAAAGTAGCCAAGCCATCTTTGTCTTATGACTCCTCAAGCATTTTTTAGGATAGAGCAGCATCGATAGTTCTGTGA